GCGATGATGTACCCGTTTCTCAGCCTGTTTCTAGTAAGGCTTGGGCACCCGGCTCCGTATATGGGCTTGGGCTTCTTATGAAGAACTAAAGCTTGTTTCTAGTAAGGCTTGGGCATCTGGCTCCGTATATGGGCTTGAACTTCTTATGAAGAGCTAACAAGTGAGGGGAGTATTAGAATATTCACTTGTGAGTTGTCTCACATCCTTTATATAAGGAAAACAGACCTAATTTATAAGTCTAATGGGCTACTCCTCCTTCTACCAATTATTTTGGGATGGAACCCCACTTGAGCTTCATCTGGGCTTTTCCTGCTATGGTGCGATTCATCTGCGTGGGACCGCACCCGTTTTATCCCCGTTTCTTACCCAAAATTTAGTTCATCCAAATTTTTAAACCTTTATTAGGTAGGTAGACTATAATATTAGTATTTATAAAATTAATTTAATCATACCAATTGTTTATTAATTTGGGACCCTTGTTGAGTCAAGTTCTTGTCTGCCAATGTGCACAGGTATACTTCTTTTTATTGAGGTAAAGCATTACTTGTGGTCTCCAATTAGGTATAAGCACCCCAATTAGATGTGATCATTAAGCTAATTTCTCTTAGTTAGACTTTCAAAATCAAGGTGGAACCTAATTAACACTTTAGCCTAAAAAGATTTTATGTGTGTGTGTGTTATTTGAGTTTCCAACAATTATAGGGCACTAAATTTTATTTGATTTTTTTTAAGGGTGGACATGCTGCTGGTTTGGTTCGTGTGGTGACCATCCCGAGTTTCACAAAAAAAAAAACAAAAAAAGTAGAGTTACTTGTATTCGCAGTTATCATGTAGAGAGTAATCTTGACAAATATTGTTTTACAATCACGCAAATAAACTCATTATTCATGAGAGGAGCGAGATCGTCAAATACAAGAACTATTTTTTTTTTTTCTTTTTTTCGATTTTAAGAGTTTTGCTACTCTACATGATATCGACAATGTTGATGAATCTTCTTTGGTGAGTAAGTATTAACACACAAGCATCGTATGCATTAAATTATCTTTACTAATGGTTATTAATTATTAATATTGTTCGATGTTACATGGTGATTGAAATTCAATATGTACAATTTACAAGCAAGTCAGTTGGGACTCAACGCAATTCATGGCATATACAATAATGAATTTAGACTATGTTAGTCTTTTCATGCAATTTAATTATTTTATTAATTTTAAATTAATAACTAGCATTTGTACTAACTAATTGATATGTGTTGTTCCTAGAGAAAATATAATGAATTCTTGCATTGTTTGGTGGTAATATGTAGTACAATTTCTTGCTTTTGAGAGTCATTACGAACGGGTCTCTCATGGGTCTCTCATTGGTGGTAATATGTAGTACAATTTCTTGCTTTTAACGCATCGAACAGTTTATAGTTGGACAAATAAGGGTGTGATTGTTTATCGATTCAACTAGTTTTTATTTGGTTTGTTTTTTAACTATAGTTAATTTTAAAAAAAAAGGTAGTATGGTTAGTTGTTAGTGGATATATTAAATAATATTTAAAAATAATAATTAAAGTTGATTTGATGTAAGGTAAGAGAAAAATGATTGGAAGTGATAGTTAGTTAAAATTATGTGAGTGGATAAATAGTGAATTAAAGTTGATGTGATGTGTAAAAATGATTGTTTGATATTATTTAATTATTTTGATAATATTGGAGATAGTGGGGTTGAATTAAAGTTGAGTTAAATTTGTGTTTTGATTAATTTTTTTACTGTTCAAACCATATTCAATCGCCCCCTAAATGTATTTCGTGCATCACACCGGTTGCTTAGTATGTGCCTTTTGGTTGAACGGCTTCTTTATCTCTCGTCTAGTTTTTATATATGAGGTTGGAACTTTGAAGGTTGTCACACGATTTTTAAAGTCGTTCCAGGCATAATTCAGTCTCTTATGCTCGCAAAGTTGCTCCTTTTTTAATAATAATAATAATAAAAGTGGATGGTGTCATATCTTTTTTAGCCGAGTAAATTACAAAATTTGGCCTAGCAAAAATAATATGGTGAAGAAAGTGAGAAAAAAAAAAGAGTTAAGGGGAAAAATTGACATAATTGGAATGATAGATCATTAGTCGGATTAAAAAACACTGGCGCATGATGATTTCTAGGCGATGCCTGGAAATCAGGCCTAGCCGAGTGCTGAGAAAGTCGAAAGCAAACATTGACGCGTGCGATAATAAAAGATTTGAAAAATACAACCAAATTATGAAAATACAATACAAATAAGCTTTTTTAGATATTATTTCGACGCTCTATGTTCTAGGCATGGCTATTGTCCAACTAGCACATGACGATTTTCACGACTTTGATTTTTNTTTTTCTTTTTCTATATGATACTTTTGAGATTTTTTAGTCTGGAATTGAAGATTATTTTGTCTTTGATGAAGATTTCATTTTATTAGTATTTTTCTATACACAAATTTATTGAATGACCATGAAAGTCATGTAGTCGACTTCATTATCTGCAACTGACCCAACAATTTGACTGTATTCCCAAAAGTGACCACTTAAAAGCTAGAATTTTTGTTTAATATTCCCTGTCAATTAATTAATCAATATTAAGTGGATGCTTAGACTTTAATGCAAGTTTTGTGAGCATTTTTCCAAAAGAAGATTCGATGTATTAAGTATTAACAGTGTTGCTTGTGATCATGTGACTTTTGGGAATACTTTAGAATTACCTTTAGTTTAAATGTAACATGAGAATAACTAGTCATTATTAGAATATATAATATAAGGTGACAATTTTAATTTAATAGGAAATTATTATTCTTTTCCAAATTTATAAAATTAATTACGTAGCTTTTTTAAGAACTAGACTTATATATATATAGAGAGAGAGAGAAAGGATCATATATGCAAAACTATGCATTTTTGTTTAAAGCTATGACCGTTTGGTCGAAATCAACGGAGCATAATTAATTTTGGACTATAAGAGTGTGTTTCTTTAAAATGAATTTTCTTTTTCCCTTTTTTCGTAGATTATACCATTTTAAACTCGACTCGGTAATTGACTCGGACAGGTCCTCGGGTCATCGGTTCAACCGTCACCGGATCAATTGCTGAACCGGATAAGTAATTTAAAATTTCTAAAATTATATATAGAGTATTTTTGTCATATAAATATACATAAAAGTAACAAAATTAAATATTTTGTGTATAAAATTTGTACATTAAAATGTTAATAATATGTATCTCATGATAAATATTTACCATATAAACATATATACATATTTTATTTTTAAATAAACAAAAATAAAATAAAAAAATTAAAAAAATATATATGAACCGGGTTGACCCGGCCGGGTCAATGCCCCGGGTCGGCCGGGTTGACTGAATTTTGACCGGGTTTGACCGGATCCTTCGTTGCCCGGTCCAAATACCCCACCCGGACCGGTTCCGGTTCCGGGTCGACAGGGTCGACCCGTCGGGTCGGTCCGGATCACAAAACACTGGTATATACAGTTGTAGAAGTTCATGAAGAATAACCCAT